GGGGGGGGGTTTGTTTGTTTGTTTTTGTTTTGTGTGTGTGTGTGTGTGTTTGTGTGTGTGTGTTTTGAAACAGCCTCTCTATGTAGCCCTGGCTCTCTTAGAATTCACTATGTAGACTGGGATGACTTCAAACTCATAGAGATCCACTTGCTTCTGCCTCCTGAGTACTGGCATTAAAGGTTTATGAGGTCCCATTTGTCAATTGTTGACATTAGTTGCTGAATGAATAGGATAAATAGGGTCTACTACAGAAACTTTTTCCCACATTTTGTCTTTAAGGTATTGTCTATGTTTTCTTCTAGCAGTTTTAGTATTTCAGGTTTCAAATTGAGGTCTTTGATCTACTTTGAGTTAATTTTTGTGTATGATGATAGGTACAGGTCTAATTTCATTCTTCTGTGTGTGCACATCTTTTTTTTCCAGCACCACTTGTTAAGGATGCTGTTTTGTCTCTTTGTCAACTAACAGATGGCTATAGTTATGAGTACTCATGTTTGAGTCTTTTTATTTTGTTGGTCTGCATATCTGTTTTGTGCTAGTACCATACTGGTTTTATTATTATACCTCTGTACTATATCTTTAAGTCTGGACTGGCAATCCATTCAATATTATTCTCTTTGCTTTGGCTATCTGGGGATTTCTCTTGTTCCATATGAATTTTAGGATGGTTTTTCCTGTTTCTGTGAAGAATGTTGCGGGTATTTTGATTGGGATTGTATTATTGGATCTGTAAATTGCTTTTAGTAGGATGGCTATTTTTACCATATTAATTCTGATACATGAACACAGTGCCTTGCCATTTGCTAGTGTCTTTCTCAGTTTCTTTCAGAGGCTTGGAGTTTTTGTTTTGGAGGTCTGTCACTTCCTTGGTTAGGTTTATTCCAAGATATTTTATTGTTTTGATGTTAATGTAAATGGAAGTATGTCTGTGACCTCTTTCTCATTATGTTTGTTGGTATATAGAAAAGCTGCTGATTTTTGTAAATTGATTGTGTACCTTGTTACTTTACTGAAATTGTTAGTTGTAGAAGTTTTCTGCTCAAATATTTTTTGGATTTCTTATATACAATATCATATTATCTCAAATATCCTTTGATATTTGAAATATCAGAGGGTTATTTGACTTCTTTTCCTATTTGCATCACTTTAATTTCATTTTCTTACCTTATTGTTGTGGCTAGTGCTTCCACCACTGTATTGAAAAGGAGTGCGGCTAAGTGGATAACCCTGTCTCCAGAATCCTGATTTTGATGAGATTACTTCAAGTTTATCTCCGTTTATGATATTGTTGTCATATATATTCTTTATTTAGGAGGTATGTCCCTTCCAGTCCTACATTGTCTAGGACTGTTATCATGAAAGGTTGTTGGGTTTTGTCAAAGGTCTTGTGTGCATCTATTGAGATGATCATTTGATTTTTGCCTTTAGTCTGTTTCTGTGATTTACATATGTGATTATATATGTTGAGCCATTCTTGTGTTTCTAGAAAAACTATGATGCTCATGGTGGATAACCTTCTTGATATGTGTCTGTGTTTTGTTTGCTAGTATTTTAATGAGGATTTTTGCATTTATTTTTCATCAGGGATATTAGTCTGTCCTTTTTTTTTTTTTTTTTTTTTTTCTATCTGTTTGAGTTTATTGAAACCCGGTATGCTTGTAGAACCTATCTAAACAAAGGCACCCAGAATGCTAGATTCTTATTGATACTGAAAATACAAATTTCCCCTTTTTTATTATATTGATTTGCTAAAATTAAGATGTTATTTACCACACTAAATACAGATAAAATTTTGGTGATTGAATCTTTGAAGGATAACTTGATTATAAGAGCTTGTTCATAAACCCAAATAATAGTAGTATTTCATTCTCAAAAACATAAAACAACTTCAAGTTTAAGACAGAAAATAAAGGCATTGTCCAAGTAAGCATATATTTGATTTGTTTCATTTTTAGTACCCTGTCTCTTGTATGTAACAGATTATTGGGTCTTGTTTATGCATCCATTCTGTTAGTCTGTCTTTTTATTGGAGAATCGAGTCCATTGATGTTGAGAGAGATTAATGACCAGTGGCTATTAGATCCTTTGATTTTGATGTTGGCCATGGTAGTGTGTTTGTGTGTTTGGCTACTTTTAGTTTGCTGTAGTGAGGTTATTTATTTCCTGTATTTTCCTGAAAGTAGTTAGTTTTCTTGGGTTGTAATTTTCCTTCTAGTATCTTCTGTAACACTGCGTTTGTGTGTAGGTATTGTTGAAATTTGTTTTTGTCGTTGAATATTTTGTTTTCTCTGTCTATGAGGATTGAGAGTTTTGCTGGGTATAGTAGCCTGGGCTGACATCTGTGTTTTCTTAGGGTCTGCATGATATCTGTCCAGGCCCTTCTGGTTTTCATAGTCTCCGTTGAGAAGTCAGGTGTGATTCTGATGGTTTTGTTATTGTATGTTACTTGGCCTTTTTCCCTTGCAGCTTTTAGTATTTTTTTCTTTTTCTTTGTTCTGTATGCTTACTGTTTTGATTATTATGTGGCGGGAGGATTTTCTTTTCTGGTCTAATTTATTATGTGTTCTGTAGGCCTCTTGTGTGCTTATAGGACTCTCCTTTAAATTGGGGAAATTTTCTTCTATGATTTTGTTGAAAATACTTTCTGGGCCTTGGTGCAGGGAATCTTCTTTTTCCTCTATTCATATTATTCTTAGGTTTTGTCTTTTCATGTTGTCTTGGATTTCTTGGATGGTTTGTTAGATTTATCATTTTCTTTGATGGATACATCAATGTCTTCCATTGTATCTTCCACTCCTGAGATTCTTTCTTCCATCTCTTGTAGTCTACTGGTTATGCTTACCTTTGTAGTTCCTGTTTTCCTCCCTAAGTTCTTTCTCTCCATGATTTCCTGTTTGTGTCTTCTTTAATTTTTCCAATTCTGTCTTCAGATCTTGAGTTGTTTTGTTGATTTCCTTCACCTGACTGTATTTTCCTTCAATTCCTTCATCTATTTGTTTGAACATCCCTCTGTTTCTTTTATTTCTTTCAGTGATTTAATCATTTCCTCTGTGAAGGCCCCAAATTGTTTGGCTGCATCTTCCTGTATTTCTTTATGGATGGCCATAATCTTTTTTACTATCTTCCTCTATTTATGCATTTTATTTGTTTCTTCCATTATCTTCATCATAAGCATAAATATAAGCTCATCTTCTTGAATTTCACTTATTTTAGGGTGTCCAGGACTACTTGCTCCGGGATAACTGGGTTCTGGGGATGCCATATTGCTTTGACTTTTCTTGGTTGTGCTTTTATGCTGGCCTTTACTCATCTGGTTGTCTCAGGTGTTGGCTGTTAGTTTCTGGTGCCTGTTGGAATCCTGGGGTGGGAAGAATCCTTCAGGATTCTGAAGGAGGCCTCCTCAGCTTTTTGGGTATGGTCTTTGGAATGGTGATGCTTCTTAGGATTGCCACAGCTCACCTCAAGTATATGGACCTGTGGGATAACTGGTCGTTGGTAGTTAGGGGTTCTGTCCTCTCACCAGGAGAATTCCTAAAGACAGCTGCCCTGCAGCTGGGTTTCTTGCTCTGAATTTAGTCAACTGCTGCTGCTGCTCTTACTCTGTGTTTGCTGGGCGCAGCCCTCTTGAAGAAACAGGGAGCCCCGCGGTCTGGTCAGTTTAGCCAGGGATAACTGGTTGTACCTTGAAACAGTATCCAATGGCTCTCAGGCTTCTGTAGGTCAGAAATTGGAGCTCTCTGCCCTAGTACCCAAGTGGCAATCAGTGGCAGGTGAGCATAGCACTCGTGTGCAGCAGGAGGCTGGAGCCTGGAGCCTACGGGAACCCAGAAACTTTTCCAGAGCTGGGTGTCCTGAGGTTGGACCTGGTATTTCTCCCACTGTGGGGTTTCCTCCTGACAGGGAGACCCAGACTGTGGTGTTTTGGGGTCCACAGTTCTGTCTGGGATGGTGAGTAGAGCAGGCAGGCACAGGCGAATGGCTTTGTGTTGGCGACTGGGCACCTGCAGGAACCCAGGAACTTTTCGGGGGAGGGGAGTGGCTGAGTGCCCTGAGGTCAGACCTCCAATTTCCCTTACCATGGGGTTTCCTCCCGATAGGGAAACCCAGTCTCTAGTGCCCTGAGGCCCACAGTTCTGTCTGGGACAGTGATTCGGGTGTGCAGGCAGCTGGCTGAGTACCAGCCGGACCCTGGGACCTTTTCCAGGGATTGTCTGAGCAACCTGAGGTCAGTCCCAATTGCTTCCTTCACCGTGGGGTTTTCTCTTGACTGGAAATCCCAGTATCTGGTGTTGTGGTGCCCACAGTTCAGTCTGGGATGGTAATCAGAGCACTCAGGCATGTGGCTCTGGGCTGGCGATTGATCGCCTGCCAGGACCCAGCAACTCTCCCTGGGTTTAGCTGGGTTACCCAATCCGATTGCTTCTTACACTATGGGATTTCCTCTCACCTGAGAAACACAGTCACTGGCGTTTTAGGGCCCAGAGTTCTATCTGTTGGTCACCGTGCAGTCACTGCTGTCCTGCTTGTCAGACACAGTGTCCTCCTGACGCTGCCATCTTGGATCCCCTAGTCTGTACTTTTTCTGTGTGTCTTTTGTACTGAGTATTAGAGTAATACTGGCTTCAAAGAACAAATTTGGAGTAAGCTTTTTTTTTTTAATTTACATATTAGTTGCAGTTTGGTAGAATTCTTCTGTGATGAGATCTGGTCTCCTGAGTGACTCCTTCTGGACCTGGACTTTTTAGTTGGAAAGCGCTTGATTACTGTTTTACTCTCCTTCTTTGCAATGAGTCTGTTTAAGTTGTTGCTCTCTTCTTGGTTTAACTTTAGTAATTTGGATGAATCGGGAAATTACATCCAATTCTTTCTGATTTTCCAACTCAATGGAGTATAGGTTTTTAAAATGTTGCCTTAAAATAATCTGTGTTTCTTTGGTGTCATGTTTCCCTGTTCATTTTTTATTTTGTTAATTTGACTCCTCTCCCTTTTTTTCTCTTTCTCTTTCTCTCACTTACTCTCTTGTTAGTTGGACCAAGGAGACCTTAATGTGTCTTCTCAAAGAATAAGCTCTTAGATTCATAAATCCTATGTATTTTTTTTTCTTTGATTTTTAGTATTTCCTGCTGTCTCCTGTGTTTGAGTTGGGTTGTCCAATTTTCTGAGTTTTAAGACATTTATTTATTCTCTTTAATACATATACATAGGGCTATCAGCTCCCTTCTTAGGACTGCTTTTAATGTGTAGCAGAGCTTTTGTTGTATTGTATTTTTATTTCATTTAGTTCCAGGAATATTTTTATTTCATAGACCCATTCATCTTTTAGTAAGAAGTTGTTTATGTCATGGAAATTTCTTTTTGTTCTTGTTTAGTTGGGATTCTGTGTGCTTCCTGTACATTATGGTTATATGTCTTTCCTTAATTTTGGAAAGTTCTCCTCTATGATCTTTTCAATCTGGTTTATGTCATTGACCTGGGATTCTTCTCTCTCGTCTATGCCTATAATTCAAAGGTTTGATATTTTGATGTCCCACATTTCCTGCATGTTCTTTTTCTGTGCTTGTAAATTTTTTTCATATTCTTTATTTCATGTAGAGCCTCTACTTTATATCCTGATATTCTGGCTTCTGCTTGACTCATTTCTACTTTTAAGGCTTTCCCCCAGAGTTTTCTAATTGGAATATTGAAATTTTTAGTTCTATTTTCATTTTAGCTTGTGTTCTCATTAATGTTTCTATCTCTTTATTGAATTCAGTTTTCAAATCCTGAATTATCTTAGTCATTTCATTCACCTGTATATTTGTATTTTGTTAGATATCACTCAAGCACTATTGTTATTCTTTTGAAGGTCAATGAAGTGTGTATTTGTGCCTTCTTTAAGTTCTTCAAATCCTTTGATAAAGTTTATAGTTATCCTTTTAAATTCTGTGTCTTGGGGCTCATCTAGAGAAGACTAATATAGTGCTACTGGGTTCAAAGGAAGATGTGCTGCCTTGACTATTCATGTTGTTTTTGTATTTGCAGTTTAAATTGAGCATGTGGACTCATTTATTTTTGTGTCTCATATAAAAATCTGGCCTCCCTTAGATTGGGCCAGTGCAGACAATGCGTGTTCTGAGCTAGTCCTAGTAAAGGTTGTGGATGACCTGTTCAGTTGACCTTGCAAAGGTGCTCTTTAAACCATGGGTCTTGAGCTAGGGTATGGAGATGGCAGCAGGCAGAGGGAAGGATGGGAGAGGAAAGGAACGGATCACCAATCAAAGGTGGCTCTCCAGAAAGCAGATCACTCATCTGGGGTCACCCCTGGGAATGGAAATGGCTATAGACAGAAGGGTAAAAATGGAGGATGGGGAAGGGAAGAAGCTACTTCCTTACAAAGATGGTTCCTGGACAAAGAGGGGTCTTAGGTGGGTGTGGAACTAGGCTTGTAGGTAGTTAACCACAATGGTGAAAATTTTGGAAAACTAGATGGACATGATATATAGTGCATGCCCTGTAATCCTAGCATTTGGGAGGCTGAGGCAGGGAGATTGGAGGTTTGAGGCTAGCCTAAAGTTACATAATGAATTCAAGGACAGTTTATATTACAAAGTAGAACCCTGTCTCAAAAAAAGCTTTTATCATTTCTTCACAAAAATATTTCCTGAGAAACACACTAGGTTCTTGCCAATGTCCATACCTTGTTCCCACAGTGTTCTCCTTTTGGTCTAGTGTGACAGAGTACTTTAAAAAACAAATGTGCTCATTTTCTTGCTGCTATCTATTGTACTTCACTACTAAACATCAGAGATCATGGATCCTCTTTCTTACTTGGCAAGCATGACATCATGTTGCACAAAGCAACCCAGTGTTTTTTTTGGTTGGCTCTTAAATGTCTAAGAAATCTACTTTTCTCAGATTAGTTGTGTTGTTTAAGAAATTGCTGTCTAGTAAGTTTTTCCTTGAAGGAAAAGATTATGATGTTGGTTAATGACTGAATTTTCAAGGAGAAAGCACTGTGTCACATGCTCCTCTACTTACAGAATGATTTCCCTGAGATCCTCTATCCCAGTGGTTCTCAACCTCGGGATCACAACCCTTTTACAGGGTCACCTGAAACCATCAGAAATCATAGATGTCTATATTGCAATTCTGAACAGCAGCAAAGTTACAGTTATGAAATAGCAACAAATATTTTATGGTTGGGAGCCATCACTACATGAGGAACTATGTTAAAGGGCAAGAGCAGTAGGGAGGTTCACAACCACTGTTCTGGCCTGTTATTGAGTATCAGGCACTGCTGAAAGCTTAATTGTGTTGTGGGACTTGAGGTATGTTATACTTAAAAGATGTTCTGTGTTTATTACCTAGTATGTAAAGGAGACTATAAGCCTATAGACGTTAGTCTATAAGCCTAATGAGGGGAGTTTCTAATTTTGGGTTTGGGGAGTTTTATAAGTGTAAATAACAAAATAAAATATGAATCAACAGATGTAGTTATTTGGCTAATTGTACCAAATGTTTTTTCTTACCAAGGTTTGATGTGTTTTTCCTTTTTTTAAAGGTAACTTCAAAAGCTCATCAGATAGAAACCCTCCACTCAGCCCTCAGTCCTCTATAGATAGTGAGTTAAGTGCTTCAGAATTAGATGAAGATTCAATTGGATCCAACTATAAGCTAAATGATGTAACTGATGTGCAGATTCTAGCCCGGATGCAAGAAGAAAGTAAGTTTTCATTGTTCAGAGTTGAGATTTTTGTTACTACATAGCTTATTGTATATTTTAAATTTATTTTATGTATTTTAAAGTGGTATGAAAAATAGTGAGGTGGTGAAGGTATAAATGCTGAAGTAGACATTTCAGAGACTAATGCCGCATAAAGACTTGCTTTCAAATTTTATTTTGTATAAGACAGCTTTGCTGTAGGAAGGACAAAGGCAGGCATACTAGGCTCGGCTTCAGTGAATGGTGCTTGAGCCCTGTACAGTTTGTGTTGGTTCTTGCCATTGTAATTGTTACTGTTACTCTGTGTCTTTTAGTGTTATGAAATAGTAACATCCCCCAGGAAGCCTTTTTACCTTTTCATTTATTACTCTTCCATGAAAATTTGGTAGCATAGTTATTCTATGTCTGCTAAGTAGAGCAAGAGCCCCAATATCTAATGTCTTTGTTGCCTCTGGCACCCCCAAAATATACATAGGCAAAACCTTTTCATACTTTTTAGGATGGATGCCCTGGTTTTCTTTGAATGCCAGAAGGTGGTGGTGCTGCTCTTGCATACGCTGTGTTGTAGAATAGAAAACAATAAACTATAATATGACCCTGTAACCTTTTCAGTGAAATATGCCTCAGTGTCTTGACAGGGGCTAAGCATTTAGAGTATTGCTAAAACTTTACAAACTTTTTTAAAATACCTGTATGCCTTATCAAGGTTTTAGGACACTGCAGAATGTTTCTTTACTCCACTGAATCATTTCCACTTTAGTACGGCCTCCCTTAGTTTAAAGTGCCTTGAGTCATTAACCCAAAACACAAATAACACGGCATAGCTTTCTTCCGTGATTTTATCTCTCTCCTCACTGAGTCAGAGGTGTGGTCAGTAAAATGCTAGTTATTAACAGGGGAAAGATAATGCTTCCTGGTTATACACCTTTGACTAAACTCAAGGTTTACTTTGAATGCTGGCTTCTGTGGAGACATAAGCAGGCTATTTACTATAGCTTTGATGCTGTATTTTGGTGACAAATAGTATAAATTTTAATATTATACTTTAGTAGTTCTTTCTAAGTCATCCACACACATGAATAAAAAGATGTTACCAAAATGTATGTGGTACCTACTTGAAAACATCTTCCTTCTATCCATTTTTAAAGTTGGTTTTATTCTTAACAGCATGGCTCATATAAGATTTGTATATAATAGTTAAAAATTAGAATTACATATTTGAGCTGTACCTTTGTTTTTACACTGAAAAATGTAAGATACTATGGTGATTGTGACTTGCTTAAAGTTCTTTGTTACTGGAGAGGCTGCATTTGGCTCTGACTTCCTTTTCTAAAACAATGTTCCCTTTGCTTTGCTGTGTTCTGTTGTTACTGTAGATAGATAGTAAGGAAGTCAGTTACTTCTGCACTTCCCAGGCCTACAGGGCTACACGAACCTAGCTAGTTTGTGGGGATTTACCTCATGAATGCTCTGCCACTGAACTCCTTCTCCAGAAATCTATGGTCTTAAAAGATGCCCTGCGGCTCACCCCTCCAGTAGCAGGTTCTGTGCACAAAGAAATGTCAGAGGTTTGTATGTGACTTTTTATGTATGATCCCTTTTAGTGGGTGCCAGTAGCCAGCAGCAGGACTTGCCAAAGACATACCTAGACTCCTTTTTTCCCCCATTGTAACTTCAAGCTAAAGCTTTGTGTGCTCACTAATATTTCTGTTCAGTATCTATATAGTTTTCCCTCGGTATTCTTTCAATCCAACTTTGGGTTTCTGTGTTTAGAGTAGAACTGGTTTTTTGTTTTGTTTTAATTTATGCCTTTACCTTGTTAACTTAGACACCTAAAAGTAAGCAAACAATAGATTTTCATTCATTTTAAAAAGTAACTTTTGAGATGTAGTCTATACATCTTTATGTAGAATAATGTCTACAAGTAGAAAAGGAATTTAAAAGTGTACTCTACATCCTAAATTTAATTTCTCAAAATTAATTGCTTACTTAAGTTTTAAATATTTAAATGTCTGAAGTTATAGTCAAATAATAATGCATTTGTTATAATGCTAGGTCTCCGGCAAGAGTATGCAGCCACCACCTCTCGACGCAGTTCTGGTTCATCGTGCAATTCCACGAGGAGGGGCACTTTTAGTGACCAGGAACTGGATGCACAGAGCTTGGACGATGAAGATGATAGTATGCATCATGCAGTGTATCCTGCCGTTAGTAGGTTTTCTCCATCACCGCGAAATTCACCCCGACCGTCTCCTAAGCAGTCGCCTCGTAATTCACCTCGTTCGAGGTCTCCTGCCCGGGGACTAGAATACAGCAGAGTGTCCCCACAGCCTATGATTAGCCGTTTGCAGCAGCCTCGCCTCTCCCTCCAAGGCCATCCCACAGATCTACAGACAAGCAATGTTAAAAATGGAGGTAAAGCAGCAGAGATGCCCGTGTTTCAGTGTAAAGAGTGCATTTCCCCCAGTGTTGCTTTTTTTTTTCTTTTATTTCAAGTAAGTAGTCATATTTAATGCATATATGAGGGGAAAATAAATTTAACTTTTTGAGACCAAATATCTGTCAGTTACTAATGTAGTTCCCAAACCCAGCTATAGGGCTAACTGGACATGGGAATTTTTACATGGTTTGCTCTATTTTACTCATGGAGTGACCTTTGTCTAGATTTGATTACATAATTTATAGGGTGCTGTTACTTCATCCAGTCATAATCTCTGGATTTGCTTTTTTTATAATTTCCTCTTACTTCTACCATATACAGAGAGAAATGTTTAAATATATTGTTTTACTTTGAATTATACGTAATATTTTAGTTATCTGTTTGAAAGAATGGTTTGATGATTATTATTATTTATTTAAAATCCTGTTGTTCTAGAAAAGCTTAGACGCAGTCTTCCAAACCTGTCCCGAACATCGAACACACAGGTTGACTCGGTGAAAAGCAGTAGAAGTGACTCTAATTTTCAAGTGCCAAATGGAGGAATACCTCGAATGCAGCCTCAGGCCTCAGCCAGTAAGTACCTTTCTACACTTTGAAATCTCATTCAGGAACAGAAAATGAAAACTATAGAAACCGATTTTGTGCTGATTTGGGCTTAACTATATTATTAAGCCATTGCCATAACATGTTCAACAGGGTGGCTCAGATGGTAAAGGCTCTTGTTGGCAAGCCTGGTCACCTGTTTAGGAGACCTTGACCTCATATGGTAGATGAAAACTGTTGCCTAACCTCTACACCTGCACCACGGTGTATGCTTGTTCCCCCCATCCCCACCCCCTCATGAAATAATTATTTTTAAATAAAAAAGTAAAAGTAAAAAGAACATTATAATAAGATTTTTAAATTGTCTCATAAAATATTTAATTCTAACCAGTGTTTATGAATGCAGGGTACTCTCTTTGGTTTCTCCTTCCTCTCATCAAAGGTTATCTTTGTTTTCTGTTTGTTTTGTTTTTTGAGATAGGGTCTCTATGTAGCCCTGACTGTCCCAGGAATTCACAATGTAGACCCAGGCTGGCCTGCTCCCTCTCATGGTGGGATTAAAGGTGTGCATCACCACTCCCAATTAAGATCATCATTCTTAATATGTAATGCTGCATTATTTGAGGCTCTTAAGGAATGTATGTGTTGTACTACCATAGAAATGCCTGTATTTATTTAACATGATTCTTATCACAAAACAAAAAAATCAAGCATTTATTAAAGATTAAAAACTGAATAAAAACTTTTAGAAGTCTCTTTTTAAAAAGGATAGGCTTTGCTTTTATTTATAGAAGTAGGCAATCACTTTCAAAATATAGATCTTTAGTAACTAGATTTTCTTTAAAAGTCTCCCATTTGAGACTTTCTAGAACTGGAGGTATAGCTCAGTGGTAATACTCAGCAGTGAGTGAGTGTTCATGGATTTTATCCCCAGTGCCACAGAAGTAAAACAAAAAGTTTATTATTACATCTTTTAAGCCATATCATAATAAAAGTAATTGATTGTGCAATAATAGTCTATTAAATCTATAACAGAACTGAACTTGTAGCTTTTCTTTGCAAAACAAAAGAAGTATTTTTATAAGGATTTATGTAAACTCACTTAAATTTATATCTGTCCATATGAAGTTTTTATTTGATTAATCTCTACATCTACCAGAGATGTATTTGTAAATAATATAGTATTTAATCAGTGTAGATGTCAGATTAATTCATGTTTCTAATTTGACTTGTAATATAAATTAAAATTTGAGGTGATAAATTACCAAAACCATCACTTTTTAAGAATTAATCAACATTTCTTTATTTAAGTTGTTTTGGGAATTAATTATTGAGTTAAATCTGAACTAAAAAATAGAGTAAATTGAAGTTGAGTAGTGGTATGATAGTTCAAGCCTTTAGCCCCAACACTCAAGGGAAGAGCAGGCAGATCTCTGTGAGTTCAAAGCCATCCTGGTCTATAGAGAGAGGCCTGGATGCATGGTGACTGTAATTTTTATTTTTGGTGACTGGATGAATACTAACCCATGAATCTGACAGGTCTTCATGAAGTAATTTTTTAGAATCTTTATTTATAATAAATGTTTGTCTTTATTTTTGACAAGAAGTATTGTGACAAGGCATTTCTCTCTGCACTAGCATGACAGATTCCTTGAAAGATGTAAATCACTAGTATTTTACATTAAAAATGAGATTTGGGGGAGGAAATAGCACTGGAACCTAAAATGTAAATCCTAAGCAACTTTTCCATAGAGCATTAACAAAAGCAGTAATGATTGTACACAAGTGACAGCTGTCACAGCACAACCACATGAATTCTTAACAAATAAAATTCTATTCCAGCAAATATCACTGTGTGCAGTGCACAAAGGGCTGTGGTTTGAATCATTTGCTGCTTACCAACTAAGGTAGGCATGAGTATATAACCAAAGCCGTGAAAGAGGGTCTAGAGAGATGGCTTTTCAGCTGAGAGCACTGGGTCCTCTAAATTTCCAGCATCCGCATGACTGCTCACAACCATCTGTAATGCACTTCTGGCCGTGAACACTAAGTATGCATGTGTGCACAGGTGCAAGCAAATAGCCATACAAAATAATAAATAAGTTAAAAACAAGCCAATCTAAAACGAACTATTGGTATTACTTCTACATAATACATAAATAACTTACCTGTGGTTATACATCTTAATAAGTGACAGGTTAGTGTTCACACTGTGTTGGTTCAGCTCCAGAATGTGAGGTCCACTATAGAGATTTATCACATCCATAGTTTATTACCAACATATAAAGATCATACAAAAATATTTCTTTCTTTCTTTTCTTTTTTTTTTTTTTTTTTAAGTTTGAAACAATTTAAAGCACTGTGGAAAATTGTTACTAAGAGTTATAGAGTTATATACCTTGGCTGGGCCTGGTGTTGCACACTTGTAATCCTAGCACTCAGGAAGGCAGAGGCCAACCGCATCTACAAAGTGAGTCCAGGACAGCCAAGCCTACGCAGAGAAACCCTATCTCAAAAAAAAAAAAAAAACATAAAGGAAAAAAAAAAGTTTTACATACCCTATTCTACAGGGTATATGCTAAATGATTTCTGTACAAGATAAAGTTGAATTTTATATTCTACTTACTGAAGACTTTGATACTTAAAAAAAAGTGTTAAGATAATTATTACTAGCCGGAAATGGGGATGGTGGCACATGCCTTTAACCCCAGCACTTGGGAGGTAGAAGCAGGCAGATCTCTGTGAGTTCGAGGGTGCCCCACTCTACAAATCAAGTCCAAGGCGGCCAGGGCTACACAGAGAAACCCTGTCTCCAAAAACAAAACAAAAGAAAGAGAGAGGTAATCATTCTTATTAGAAACATGAATTCATAAAAGTTTAAAAATGAATTTAAAGGTAGCATTTGAACTCTGTTATATCTAAGGTAAAGAGTGCTAGGTTTCATGTCTTTAAACCCACAAGTTAACTTGACACTTGAAGATACGTTGTTTCTGAGGGCTTCCCCCTCAAATACTTTGTACCAAAAAACAACCTACAGTGTTAATGTGACATGAAAATAGGGAGTCCTTATCCTCACAAGCAATATAGCCATGCCTTTTATAGCATCACTACAGAGGGGAAACAACATTTGTACTTGGCACACAGATTGGGAACCTAGGACCCTAGGACTGAAATAAAAGATCTATTAACAAATATAGAACATGATATTAAAGTCTTTTATAATTACCTGCCTTCTCTAGCAGCAGAATTGTCATTATACAGCCATCATTATTCTTCTAGAATTATTTTTTCCTTCATAGTAGTTGATAATTGAAGAAAATCTATAGGAAAAACATAATCGCTTTCCAGTTACTGGTTTTATTATGTGGAAAATATATGCTCATTTTTGCAAAGTTGCACTTCAGCATTGGTAAAAATTGTATAAACAGATTGCACTATTATCCTTTTAAAAATGCATACACTTGTTCTTTCTTACATCCTTAGCTATAGTAACAACTTACCTATAATTAAAAATGCCCACTAAAGCAATGCACAAATGTAATTGGAAAATAAAAAATCCAAAATATTAACAAGCTTAAAACTTAATTTTAAGTATGTTGTATAAAAATAGAGATTTTTGTTTTAAGTTTATACATCACAGTTATCTAGTTTTGCTAGATAAAAAATATGTAATTATGTTATTTATATAATTATATAACAGTTTTAATTTTACTCTGATACATACTTTCAAAATAGATATAAACATGTGTAAAAATATAATAGCAACTTTATATATTTTATATCGTGAATGTATTTATTGTTTTACTATAAACTTAAGTTCTTAGTCTAATGTTTCATTTTGTTTTAAGTAATTCTTTGTTCAGCTATGAATGGTAAAGCTTTGGTCTCACTTGCTGCTCTGCATGAAGCTAACTTTGCCAGGCTGCTGGTTTCTACCACTGGGTCATTTCCTTGCCTTGTCACTATGCCAGTCACTCTTTTTATATGCTTATTTGCTATGGCTGCATTATTGTGGATGCTGGCATTCAAGTATGAGGATCATGACAGTGCTAATATATTCGACTTTTATATTTGTAAAATGTGAGTAACTTGAAAAGTTTAAGAAAACCAGAGCATTCGTGAAACCAGAGCAGTTTTTTCAACAAAAAGGGGAGGTGTTTATTAAAGACAGAATTTTTCAGAAGGATGATAACCTGTTTTCTGACATTACTAAAGTATGGGTTTAAATTTAGTTTTCAGAAAACATGGGAATTACTGGCTTATAAGTGTAGAAAAAAAATAGATGAAAACCTCCAAATAGTTTAATGTTTAGTTTGTTTTTTTTTTAATCTAAAGTTTGATTAGTTTTATAATGCCTAACGTATTTTTACATGCATTAACACATTTGAGCTTCACAAATACACATTTATTTTTGTAGAGAGCAGAGATCCATGTAATAAATCAATTATGCAGGCCCACATATCTGGAGTGCAACACAACTAAGACCAAACTTGCTCCTTCTCCCAGTACCTCCTGCTACTGTCTGGAGGCCATACACATGCATAGGCCTCTTGCAAAACCATTGTGAGTGGCTCTTTTGGGGCATGATTTGAGACTGAACCATAGATTATTTGCCCCATACAGAAATAGTTTTACACAGGAGACATAACGGCCCAGAGAAGAGCTACATAGGACCATTAATGTGCTCTGCTCCACTACCCCCTCAAAAGTATCTAGGTTGATAACCTTTGTGAAGCTGGTGTCCTGAGGTCTACAAGGAAGGAAGCTCCTCAAGGCTTTACCTACTACCAAAGCACTAATGGTCATTCTCCAGTTTTGCATTATTTTGAAACATGAATTAAAATAAATCATATTACATGCAATAATTATATAATTGACTAATAAAGACTAGTAAAATATTTAAAGACCATCAGTTTAATAAGTAGTACTGTATCATTACCTGACTCAAAAAGATTTTATAAGCATGGTGACTTGAGGTCTTTAACGCTTGGCATTGATTACATTTTAGAGTGGAGGCCCAGACTCTCATGTTTTAAGTGTCTCAGTTGATTTTTAGAAATATGCAAGTTTAAGAACCACTTAGTTTGGCCACAGTTTTGTAAAGCTTTGACTGAAATAAGTATAATTTGTTTAACAGGATAAATAATAGGAATTTAAGTCTGTGCAATTTGTATACTTGTCGGTCACTTGTGTGTTAATTATTTAATAGAAATTATTGAGTATATGTGACAGTCCTAACTCTAAGGATTTATATATAAGATAGACTGTATCTTCCCATAGCTGAGGATGGTAAGCCAGAGCTGCTATGGAAGCAGAGGAGAGACATCAGACTCAGCATGGAGTCCTGAGAACCTCTCTTCAGTAACACTGGGACCCACATAGTAGAAAGAGAAATGACCCCTGCAAGTTGTCCTCTGATGTACATATACCATGACATGCCTTATGTGCTTGTGCATAGACAAAAATAATAATAATAATTTTTTTAATAATGGCTTAAAACTTGCCAACATATGGTCATTTGCTTCTCTTTGTGGTCATTTACACCTGAGCCTACCACTGTTTTTAAACACTTGATCTCCCCAGTCTCAGAGTTCTCTACTGTTGCTTCTTCCTCCATCTGGAAAGCCTTCTCCAGAGCCCCACATGGTTCTCTCCTACTCCTCATTTGATCTGTGAGCAGATGTCATCTTTAGGAAATCTTTATGGATTACCCTGTGTACAACTGCAACTTCAGTCACCTCCTCTTCCTTTCCTACTTACTTTCCTTCCTAGCAGCCATCACTCTCTGGATGGCTATATATTTTGCTACTTTATTTTCATTCTCCCCTTTCCCGAATAAGAATAAGAAAAGTTCATAGTGGGCTACTGAGCCTGTTTTATCCAAAAGGGGTACCTGGAATACTTTCCTGTTTGAATAAATGAAAAGATGGATGGATGGATGGATGGATGGATGGATGGATGGATGGATGTCAGAGAATATATGGACAAATATATAGATGAATAGCATTTGATAATAGTAGCCTATAATTTTGTGTTCAGGTATAAAGTTACAGAATATCTTTCCAAGTCTGGACAAGTGTTTGCTTATTTGCCTGACTGCGTTTGTGTTACATTGGCATTAAACACTCTGTTGCTACAGAAAGATGTGGACTGCTGGAAATTTAGAAGTCAGGTACAGTCCTGATTTAAAAGTTGCTTGTCTCAGGGCTGGAGAGATGGCTCCAGAGCACTGGCTGTTCTTCTAAAGGTCCTGAGTCCAATTTCTAGCAAGCACATGGTGGCTTATCACCATCTATAACGAGATCTGGTGCCCTCTTGTGACGTGTAGGCATACATGCAGGCAGAATACTGTATAAATAATGAATCTTTTTAAAAAAATAAAAAAATAATAATAATTGCTTGTCTCAGTGAGGACATTGGAGTGCTTTGGCTTTGACAGAGATAACATAAATTCTTCCTTTCTTTCTGATCATACGTCTAGTATCCCTTTACCATGGGAAGATCTTTTTTATGCCCTACATAGACAGATTTATAGGGATAGAACCTTGATGTTTTTGTTATGTTTGAATTTTATTCTTTTGGACACAGTTCCTAAAAGTGTAGAAAGCCTTATTTTTCTGACTAGTAGAATGGCAGTTTAGAGCTACTTCAGTAGGTGACTGTAAAGGGACTGCTAGGAGGCCCCTGGAGCAGAGTAACTCTGTGTTGTCGTTGTGTTTTTTCAGGATAACAAAGGTTTTATTTTATTTTTATTATTATTTACAATTTATTCACTTTGTATTCCAGTTGTAGGCCCTCCCTTATCTCCTGGTCCCACCCTCCTCTTTTCCTCCTCTACCCCTCTCCCCTAGTCACTGATAGGGGAAGTCCTCCTCCCCTACTGTCTCCCTAGCCTATCAGGTCTCATCAGGACTGCCTGGATCATCTTTCTCTGTGGGCTGGCTAGGTCACCCCACCAGGGAGAAGTGATCAAGGAGCAGGCAACCAAGTTCATTCAGAGACTGTCTCTTCTCCTCTTACTAGAGAACCCACGTGGAGACTGAGCTGTCTATGGGCTACAGCTGAGCAGGGGGTCTAGGTCCTCTCTATGGATGGTCTATGGTCTGTATTGTAGTAGTTGGCACTTCTTCTCTCTGAACAGCTCTGGGATGTCTTATATGGCAGTTTTAGAAGTTTTAGTGCAGTTAATAGAATGCAAGTTTGAAGGTGACTTTAACAAAACAAATGTCCTAACTCATCTAGACCCCCTCAACACATGTGCGCATGCACACACACGCACAATGCATACTTCCACAGACCAGACACATTACTACCAGTTCTGAGGTACAAATGAGTTGGATTTTATAGCAAGATAACACTGAACATGTTAAAGCCGCCAGGTTGTGATAAAACTTGTCTGGTTCTGAGTTTTCTTCTCCTTTTTGAGAATGGAAATTACTATTTGATTTTGGAGCAATTCATCTAGCAATAATTGCTTTGCCAAAATGTGCTTTTTTTTTTGCATCAAACAAGTACTGTGTTAATTTTCTATTCTGTGTGCTTATGTTCATCTTTTATCCTTGTGTTTGTATTCTTTGCATCTATAGCATGTTTGCTGGTGGCTTCTTTTCTCTTTGATATTCCAGCCAATTGACATATTAGAGGGTTTTTTTTGTCAAAAAACAACAACAAAAAAAAAAAACTAGTTCTAAAAATATGCAATGGCACTAAGATTTCTACCCCTTTTCTTTTGCAACTTAATGCACGAAGCATCACTTTAAAATTCCTGCGCTTCTAGAATTCTAACGTTTCACCTCATGATTTCTATTCCTTGATGACTTATAAATCTCTATTAAGTATTCAAGTTTATAGAAGGTGTAGCCTGTACCTCATACTTCCCGGAAAATATTACACTTCCTTGTTTTTCAACAGCTTCTCAAAGGCTGAAAAGTTTGCCTCGTTCTTCCCTCAAAGCCAAACAGCTGCTTCCACCTTCATCTACAAAAAGAGGTAATTACAGCCTCTCCTGGAGCTGAAAAGTTCAGCAAGTGGTGTAGATAAATCCCGCACCTTCTGGATTTCTGAGTCAGTGATCCGTGTAGGTCACATTTCAAGGTGTTTTTTTTTTCCCCCTTAATGAAATAATGCAGATTAATTCCTATAGTATAGATAATTCCAGCAGAAAACTATTTTCTTCAGAGGTATGTATTGAATTTTTCTGAAAATGATAATTTATTATTTTCCCTACTAATCTAAAACCAAAGATTATTTAGAATTAATGAAAATTGGACAAATAGGTATTCAAAATGTTACATATTCTATTAATGTTTTTCCTCAAGTATTGTTTGCTCATCTGTGGCATAAGTGGAACACTTTTGCAATAGATGCTGATTGAAGATGCAAGTCTTCATCCTCACTGGCTACTTTTGGAACACTTGCTACAGTGGTAGCTTTGGTTAGAGCCAAGTGCTAAAACATATGTGAAGTTTGGGTACTAAGTCTAGGTAGTGTTGTTTCCAAAAGGTGGAGTATATTGGTAGGTAGAGGACAGAAGACTTGAGAGAAGCAGTGGCATAGGATAGACCAGTAGTCCTGAGAATGAACAGGTGACTCAAAGAATGGGGTAGAGCAAACAGAAGCAATGAGGAAAAATATATCCCCTCATAAGAGTAAGAAAAACTTGAGGAAAGAGAAATTTTGAGGATTATTTATGGAAAAAAAAAGAGTGGTTAGTATAGGTACAAAACACTTTTTTTGTTTGTTTGTTTGTTTGTTTTTTTGTTTTGTTTTCAAGACAGGTTTTCTCTGTCCTGGAACTAGCTGTTGTAGAGCAGGCTGGCCTGGACACACAGCCATCCCCCTGCCCCTGCCTCCCAGGTGCTGGGATTAAACGCATGCCCTACTGGGCTGTTAAAGACAGATATCGCATGTTTCCCTCATATGTAAGTCCTAGCTCTTCTTCCTAGAGACTTATTTATGCGTGTATACAAGTGCTTTGTCTGCATCTGTGCCTGCATACCAGAAGAGGGAACTGAATCGGGAGCTGCCATGTTGCTGGGTTACACTCAAGACCTTTGGAAGAGCAGCCACATACTCTTAACTACTGAGCCATCTCCAGTCCATATAGCCATCCCTCCAGCATATATGCTTTTTAACATGTGTGAGTGTGTTAGCAGTGATTTGGTGTGTGATTGTAAATAATTCATTTTCAAGACTAGAATCTGTAGGAAAGATACTAGTCAAGTAGTAGCACGGGGTGAATGCTGGTGGACTAACTGCTAGATGCTCGCATACCTCTCTTGATACCGTAGTCAGGGACAGCACATTGCATAGGGCTTGTTCTTTAGAATGAGAAGATAGTTTGGGTTTATAGAAAGGGATCTTATTATCTAAAAGTTTACCCAAAAAAGGAAGTGAAGCATAAGTATAATACATTTTTTGGTGCTGTAGTGAACAATACTTACATCATGATAACATAAACACAACTCAGATTTAAGAAACAATTACAATATAACTTTATTGGAAGAAGGGGGACTCTTAGGAGGTTAAGGTAAAGAACAGCAAGAAAGTTAAATCACATTCAATCTCTGAGAAAGCTAGTACATGAAACCTAAAACTGATGGCTGGAGACAGCACTCGGAAATGTACAGCACTTGCTGGTTAGTCTTCCAGAAGACCTAAACTCAGTTCCCAGCATCCATTCAGGTAGCTCACAACCACCTGTTACTCCCAACTCTTGAGATCTGATACGTTCTTCTGGCATCCACAGGTACACACATATATGCATACCTCCACACAGATAAACACAGTAAGCTGAAAACAAGAAAGAAACATTTTATGAAAAATGGAAAACTGTTGGCTCAAATCAATGAAACGCACATATTACTAGAAATAACAAAGATACACATGAAAGGGGAGACTGAATAGTTTGGGACCAAGAATCTTCATCCTTATTGAAGTACTATTTATAAGAGCTAAGTTTTGAAATCAGCCTGAATGTCCTCAGTGGATATGGATATGGATGCTTGGATATTTGGATATGTCAAAATGTGGCCACAATCCAATACCATGCAGCCCTTTAAAAAAATGATTTGTGGCAATATGGATGGACCTTAAGGCTATTGTGTTATATATAGTGAAACAGACACATGGATAAATATTTTAATCATCTTGCTAATAATGCATTCTCAAAATTACCTTGTAGTAAGTGAAATATTGTGTATCAGAGATGAGGAGTAGAAAGAAAGAAGTGGGTGGGGATTTTCAAGGCTACAAAGTTACAAGTGAACAGGAAAATATTGTACTCTTTAAAGTGGGATGAAATATATTAGATACTTCAAAAATACTTATTGCTTTGTGTGACTTTACATTTAGTCTTCTGCTTGTTAGTTTTAAAAGACCATTCCTTTTGACCAAATTTCTAAAGAAGTTACATTATTTTGTGAGGCCAAGCTCTCAAACTGCGAACTACCTATTGTCCAAGGATTTCCAGTCTTCGGTTGGGTACTGGGATTCCTCCATCTCTACATGTCTTTAGCCGGTAAAGAGGTCGTCTAAGTGTATTTTGTGGGGTTTTCTTGTTTGGTTTTCATCTTACTTAGTAATCCAAGCTTTCCTATGTTGTGGTGTTGTGGCATGGGAGTTGTCGTTGCACCTCTTAGCTACATACGGTGCTACACACCTGTAACCTCAACACTTGGAAGGTGGCAGAAGGATGTGAGTTAAAGGCTAGCCTGAATATACAGTGAGATCCTGTCCCACACCAAGGGCTGGGCATGTAACTCAGTGGTAGAGAGCATCCAGAAAAGGATGCTGGATCCTTTGGGACTATATGGCTGTGAGCCACCATGTGGGTGCTGGGAATTGAACCCATGTCCTCTCTGGAAGAGCAGCCAGTTCTCTTACCCACTGAGCCATCTCTCCAGCCCTTCTCTCTTTTTTAAGTTTTTATTTTATGGATGATTTGCCTACATGTATGTATGTACACTTATGTGCATACCTGGTACCTACGAAAGCCCAAAGAGGGTTCTGGATATATTAGAACTGAAGCTAAAGACAGTTGTAAATTGCCAGGTTGGGCCTGGGAACTGAACTCGGATCCTCTGCAAGAACAGCAAGTGTCTCCCATCCAAGTATTAACCAGGCCCGACCCTGCTTTGCCTCCAAGATCGGGCACATTCAGGGTGGTATGGCCGTGTGCTCAACCATACAACAAGGACATTTGCTCAAGTATGTTCATAGCAGCTTTGTTCATCATAGCCAGAATCTGGAAACAACCTAGATGTCCCTCAGCCAAGTAATGGGTACAGAAATTATGGTACATTTACATAATGGAATACTACTCAGCAATTAAAAACAAGGAAATCATGAAATTTGCAGGTAAATGGGTGGAACTAGAAAAGTTCATACTGAGTGAGTTATCCCAGAAGCAGAAGACACATATGATTTATACTTACTTATAAGTGGATATTAGCCACTTTTTTTTTCTGTTTGTCTTGTCCAATATGATTGTTTTATTTTATAAACTATATTTTATTTTGTTATATTTTTACTATTCTTTAGAAGCTTGTTTTTTCTTTTTAAAGAGTTTCATTTTATTATTGCTCTGAAGAAAAATATGGAATGCTTCATGAATTTGTGTGTCATCCTTTCTCAGGGGCCATGTTAATCTCTATATTCCAATTTTAGTGTGTGTGCTACCAAAGTGATCACAGAAGCCTGTTTTTTTTTGTTGTTGTTTTTGTTTTTCTACTAAGAGAAAGGGAGTGGATCCAAATGGGAGTAAAGGTGGTGAGGAACTGGGAGGAGTAGAGGGAGGAGAGACTGTAATTAAGGACACATTATATAAGAGGAAAATACGAGTAAAAAGTTATTCGTTAGTCCTTAGAAATTTGACCGTGGGATCCCTTCTTTTTCTTGCTTTGCCCTCCTTAGGGAAGTGTAGGGGGTGTTGTTTGCTTGTTTTTTTCCACTTTATTTCACCATTTACATGCGTGAATGCATGTGTGCACATGCTCGTGTGTGCCACGGCATGAGTGTGCAGGCAGAGGAAACTGGGAAGTCAGTGTTGTTCTTGAACTCTGGGTTCCAGGGATGAAACACAGATCGTCAGTCTTAGCCTCTCCCCCTCGTCCTGGTCCTGTGAATGAGTTTATAGTTTCTGTCAGATGGCCTCATTCATACATACAGTCTCTCCCCAATTCAATTATTCGTATTTTAAAAGATGTTAATACCCCCTCTGGTTCACTGGGGCCTTTGCTCTTTTATGAGTCTTCTTACTGCTCTCTGTGCTTTGGGTTTATCATTCTTAGTGTTAAAATTGCCTCTTCTCCAGCATCTATGCTGCTGTAATCATGTAACAGAATTTAGTATTTTGGATTTAAGTTCTTCATCTTTAAAAATACGCTTTCCTGAAAATATATTTCTCTCCTCATTACATTTAAACTATGTGTATCTTTGAGCCTATGTTAAGAGTCCTTGTAAAGTCCTTTCCTGCTAGTTCAGTGGTCACTGTTCCTCTTGACCAAGTGCTTCCTGGCCTGTGTTATTGTTTCCTTGCTCCTCTGTGTTTTGCTACTTGCTGGATAGTGGACAGTGTACAAGTTTACATTGTTCTGTGACGGATATTGTTAATCTTTTAAATATTGTTGGACATTATTATGTTAAGTAATTATATTTCTCACAAATCAATTTAAGCCTATATAGCAGGGATTGATTATTTTCTCAAAGACCAGATAGTAGCTATTTTAGGTTTGTGGCCATGTGGTCTTTATTCCAGCTTCTAAACCACATGCTATAACTTGAAAGGCAGCCATGGGTTATGTATAAATGAATGGGTATGTTCTAATGTAACCTTATTTACAAAACTGTGTATTTGCCCACAGGACAGTAGGTTGTGGACACATCTATTCAAAAGACTTTTTATAAGCTTTGTTAGAGCAGATTTTGGACATTTTTTCCCTCTAGGGTTAGGTGGCCTGCCCCTATGGGTTTCCTTCCCTCCCTGCCCCCAGTTAAAACTTGATTCTCTTAGAGTATCTCCCGCTGCTTTGACATCTTGGTTTGGCAGGGACTCTCCAGTAGCTGGTTGAGACTCAAAATCACAGCAGTTTTGTGCGAGCTTTGCCAGCTGTAGCCCTTTGTGTGCAGGCGTGGAATTCACTCTGCATGCACTCAGCCCAGTGCTGAGCCGTAGGTTCCACCCTCTCCTTAAGCTAAGTCCTGAAGGGCTTCTGAGCAGCTCTGGCCTCTAAAACACCAGCTCAGATTTCTGATTTTGTCTTCTCTGCTCATCAAGATAAATTAGCTCTGCCTGGGATACCCTCTCTAATCCACAGTCCACCAGTGTGTTTAGAACAGAAAAAAAGCCGGAGAGCTTCAGAAGGGATTCCTTTCAGATCAGACTCGTAGACCTAACATTCCTAACAAGACCCAAGCACCCTTCTTGCAGAAATCACTGTACTTAATGGTTAAGTACTTTTGAAATGTTTTGTGAACCCATCCTGTCATAGGAATCTAGTAGCAGGCCGATTCCTCTCAGCCCTACTTAAGTTGGCTTCAGGCTGGCTTCTCTGGTTCTTCACCTTGCAGCTTCTGTCAGTGTTGGCCTGACTGGAAAGGTGTGACAGAGCAGAGCAGCTCACACTGCTTCTGGGGGGCCAGAAGACAAGAGAGAAAGTGCTTGCATTAGCTAGCTTCTTCCTTTTCCTTTTATCCCATCCAGTTTGTCCCCGTTGTGTCCCGCTTAGACACACACACACACACCCCGCCTTCTGTGAGTTTTTCCACCTACATTCAGAGCTGTCCTTGTTTGATCCTCTGTGGAAACACTCACAAACACACTAGCAGTCTGCTTCACTAACAAGCACATCAGCCCAGTGACGTTGATCATCATAATTAACCACGTCCCTTCTCCCTCCAAGGCTGGAGAGCTTACTGTGCCTCTGTCTTACGGATGGATTGACAGGAGAGAAGACAGAATAGTGTAGAATGACCCCGTCTGTGGCCCAAGTGTTCTCTCCGTTTGTACTGAGACTAAGGGAGCTGTCTGAGAACGATTAGCTTTCAGCCTCTGGTCCACACACACCCTACTTCATCCCAGGGTTCAGGGTCTGATAAAGCATGTTAAGGTTATAGTTGAGTTGTGCATTGTTGTCCATGGCCCTCTGAGGAAACTAAAACCTTTTCAGACAAACATTTAAAACTTTTCTTCAAACATGAGGAAGCAGGAAACATTGAGTGTGTACTCCAAGAATCTGAACTTAATCTCAAAGAGGTCTGTTGCAATAATAAAATGTGTTTGAATTTTGTCTTCACTTAGCAATAGACACTATATTTTTCTTTATCTGGCATTTGTTTTAATATAAGCACATTTTTCTTAGTAGACTTGGCATTCTCTGCCTTAATAGACCTTTTGATATGCTCCTGTATTGCATATGTATGTGTGTCAGGACAACTTTCAGGAATTCTTTCTCTCGTTTTGCCATGGGTTCCAGGGATCCAGTGCAGCTTGTTATGTGTGTTGTCAGACACCATTACCCACCCAGTCACCTTTAAAATAATAGTAACCGTTGATTCTTCGGTTCTGGTTGTCCTGTAATATGTGGCTTTGAGGCTACAGTCACTGATTTCTGTTCACATGGATACCCAACTCTTTTACCTCTAATAATGGCCCTACTTCCTAGCCACAGTGAGACAGTGACTCGAGTTATTTATTACTGTTACGTGTGCACGTGCAGGCAATGCTGTGGTGGGGCCGTGTTGCATGCGACAATATATGTGGGAGTCAAAGGACAGTGTTGTCAAGTCCTACCTTCATGTGGGTTTCTTGGGTTGGACCTGGGCTTCTAGGTATTTGTGGCAAGCACCTTGAACCACTGAGCCATCTTACCAGTCCCTGTGGTGCTGTGGCCCATCCCCCTTTCCTTTTGTGAGACCCAAGTTTTCCTGGCTAATGTACCTATTCAGGGACAGTTGTCATCCTATGAGCTATCCTTTTTTCTGTTAGGCCAGAATAATCCTTTCTTTGAAGCTCATCATATGGGTATGGTAGTGTTCCATCATGGGTAACAGACTAGTGGTTTTCACTGGTCCTCGGTTCCTCTGAAGACACTGGTTTTTCTTTGCTCTTCTGCATGCAGTACCTTCTCCAGGCAAGTTCCGCTCCCCCGCAGCGCCATCGCCATTGGCTTTGCGGCAACCAGTGAAAGCATTTAGCACCCATGGCTCTGGTTCTGGTAGCCAAGAAACTACACAGTTCACACAGACCACCTCCTCACCTGGGCCTCCTGTGGTGCAGAGCACAGTCCCGGCAAACCCTTCCAGCAATATCAACAGCACCACTCTCACCAGACCTGCAGGGACGGCTGCAATGAGGAGCGGCCTGCCCCGCCCGAGCGCCCCTTCTGCGGGGGGCATACCAGTGCCTCGCAGCAAGCTTGCACAGCCTGTTCGCAGGTAAGTGTAAATGTTGTACTTGGCACACTCGAGAACACTTGAGCCTCCGAGAGTGAGTGGGCGGCAGTCAGCCATGCCCCTGCATTCAGTAAGCGTGGAGACGGCCGTGGGTCCCACTGTACTAGTGCAGTTTAAGGCACTGCTGCCTCCTTTGGAGAAGTCTTCGTTTGGACAGCATACCACCTTAGTTCGGACTAAACCTCCTCAGTGCCCAGCATGATGAAGCAAGCATCCCAGGCAACTCCTAGGACAAGGTTGTTAAAGACACTGGAGTTGGTTGTGACAGTTGTTCATCTTGAGAACAGCCACAAACATACTAAAAGCATGAGGGGCTTGAGAAAGTTCTGGCTGTGCTCCCTGAGTCGATGCTCTTTTAAATTGCTGCAGCTCACCTGCAGAGTTTTTATAAATTTTTATAAATCCAGCTTCTACTGCAGAGACTCTGAGCCCCATTTCATTGTTTAGTCTAGAAGTGATTCTGATCCCCAGAAGGTCACGGGCCACACCCACACAGTCTCTACCCTTCAGGAAGGGTTAGCACCATCAGTAAGTTTAGCTGTCAGCCATGATTAAACTTTGTTTTCTTGAAAAAAGAAGTTCCAGTCTTGTGTTTAAACTAGGTATGCATGTACGCGCTTTATCTTAATACAGACACTTCACATATCCAGATTTGGTAGAAGAACAAAATGGTTGTGTGTTGTGCACTGTGTTAAATACTTCTTACCTTGTCTAATTTCATGGTAACAGGTACTCCTATTTTTTAGAGGAATATATTGAAATTTACTCAGATTAAGTAGCTTTCCTGAGTACATACAATGAGTAAGACCAAAGACTATCAGTTACTATCAGTCTGACTTCAAACCCCTTCCTTTACCCAGTGCCCTCACACTCCCTGCCACTCTGGTGTGGTGACACTAAGCCTGCGTTGTCACATTCATCATGTCATCTCACAGAACAGTAGATTGGAGGAACTTTCTTTCCTCTTGTTTTAATTCCACAGCCACGTTAACAAAAAGTGTTAGAGGACTCATCTTGTATGTACTAACACTTGAGAGCTGTGAGGCTGCCGAGCAAGGAGAGATGGCTCTGATAGTTGTTTAGAGCGGAGGGCTTAGTAGTTCCCTGAAGTAGTCCTCGTGGGACGCTGTGGCACCTGAAAAAATAATAGACATGTAGCATTGTATGGTAGTATTTTATAGAGACACAAAAATCACAAAATCCCTTTATTTCAGATCGTTGCCAGCTCCTAAGACCTATGGTAGCATAAAAGATGACAGTTGGAAAGATGGCTGTTACTGACGGGCCGAGATGAGAACGCGGAAGTCCACAGCTTCATGGATACCCCTTCACCGAGCCGAAACCAACTTCTATACGCAGACTCTTCAGATGAGACTCTCGGGGGTCGTAAACTCCCAGCCTCTCTGTCTTAAATAGCACAAACTGACAGAGACGATGAAGCAGCACTTTAATACACGTGGCATCGGATGTGTTTGGTAATCATGCAATCACTCTCCATGGAGTCACTCTTACTTTTGCTCACTAGAAACACGGTTCATTTTTTATTATTTGACAGAGGCCAATATCTGGGCAAATACCTAATGGATGCCAAAGAGAAATGCCCATTTGTAAAGAGAGAACCTTTGTTCATGGGAAGATGGTGAATTCAGGCTATCCAAAACCTCATGGTCAACCTATTTTACTGTACAAATAGTATCAATAAATACTGTGTTAACAAGAACTAATATTCTGACTAATTACATTGTTTTATTAGTCCTTCAGGGTACAGTAAATTATAAAGATTGGAAGGGAGAAAGGAAAGACCTAAGCTAAAGACTTAAAACATGCTACCTGTGTTTAGGAAAGTTTTACAAATTACTTTTGCAGGCTCATGGGAAAATTATAATTGTTTTAAATCTTTTGTTTTAGACATAGCTCACACATAACCATGTCCAGCTGGTATCACAGTGCACACCGCTGACCTGCATCAGCATCTCAGACTTCTGTGTGCTTGCTTTGATTGCCGAAAGGGCTCACTATCAGTTACACGCTCTTTGTGAACTCTGTAGCTCCTGGCTCAGGAAAGGTGGCCTCTGCTGTTGAAGCCAGCCTACCCACGTGCTGTTCTCTGCCACAACTCAAAGATCTTGTTCCCATTACTAGGCTCCTTTGATGTGAGAGAACAGGAATATGTGTCTTTGTTCTTGACAAAAATAACACCTCAGAACTTAGCAGCTGGAATAAAACCATACCACAAGAGGAGAGGAAATCTATGCACCTAACTACCAGAACCTCTGGTGATGACGGTTGTGTTGTTGCTCTGAGTGGCATAGCGGTCTGTTGTGTGCGGGCAGTCCGCTTCAAACTGAATAACTGTATGAAGTATCTTTTCAAAACCCTGTCCCCTTTGACTTCGATTCTGCCTTACGTCAATGTTTCCATTGTTTGGGGTCAGACCATCTGACTGTAATTTGCGAAATATTTGCTCTCTAATGGCATATGTGTGTATAGATCCCCTTGAAGTCAGCTGTGTCGGTGTATTGGGTTATTACCAAACTGTAACTCCAGCTGACTTCTCAGTTTTGATAATGAGGTCTGTTTTTAAATACTTAATCTGGACTGTTTTAAAGTCTTGGCATTTGGGTCACGTAAAGGTGAAGGGATTTGAACTCTCTTCCTGTAAGTAGAGGATGTGTGTAAGTTGGAAGTAGACATGCAGAGAGAAAGGGAAGGAAAGCTTCCTGCTCAGGAAAGCATCAAGGTAATGAGGACAGAGACCCAGTCTGCCATGACTGATGGTGGACCACCAGGGAGACATTCAGCCAGCTAGCAGCAGCAGCCACCAGTGCCGGGAACTTCGTGTAGAATGGAAGGCATTGTGTTTTTGCATTAGAAGGGGTGTGAGGGAAAGGAGGGTCACAGTTGTCCATAATGACGAGCTGCAAACTGCTGCTTTTCCGAGGAAGATGAAGCATGTGCTGTGGCGGGGAGTGTCTCATGTGTCTGAGTAACAAAGTTGCCGCTGTCTCTGTGGAATCACATGTGCACACAGCAAACAGGTCTCTGTTCAGTGTAACAGTTCACAAAAATAATAAATGCTGCAATTTAGTAATTTAAAGGAACTTTAATGAACCATCTATTAAATTTTTTAAGTTAGATAATCAGTTTCAAAAGGAATATTCAGGTTATTTAATGTTGTTTTTAAATGGCTGCATTGGAAAAATATCTATTTTTTTTTAATTAAACTATTTCATCACTTGTTTAAAAATGTATTTTGGATCTGAGTTTAGTGATATTATTTTACCTGCTGCTGTACTACCACAGACTATTGGCTTTTAATTTCCTAAAGAGAAAAATTGCCTTTTTACTAGAAAGCCTTTGTGTTTTGCCAGTTTTTCTGTTTGGGAAAATCTAAGGATTTGCTGTGGTTAGTTGTACAGAAGAAATGTGGATTTGATAAACTAGTGCCTATGATTTTAACTTATGTTCGATATAGAGTAGTAAGGGGTTATGAATGTTGATTATTTTGTGCCAACAGCCCAGAATTGTCACTTATATGTCAGCAGAACCTATGACCTCTGCTTCCAAAGTTATTTAATTTTCTCAGTGTTTGGATGTTATTTTTTGTAAGTGTGTTAATAAAAGTGTAAAGAATTGGAAAAATATAAATATTCTTAACTCAAGCATTTGCTGGATCATTTTTCTACAAACTTGTTTGTATAGTATAAAGCTCTCTGAAGAGTTGGCTCTTCTCGGTTTTCATATCCTGGAAATCACATTTTGTAAAACTGGGGACCATTCATAATTGTCAGATACTTTTTTAAATTATCTCAGAACATCACTTTTATATAGATATAAAAAAGTTTTTTTGAAAGCAAAGAGAATTAAATGCATATGTGGCCCCAGGTGTTTGTATAACTCTAGGATGATCTAGACTCTGTGTGTTCAAATTGACGTAATTCGCTGTACAGTGTCCAGTTCTGACAGTACGATGCATGGTCCTTTTAGATCACATGAAGTTTGATTTGCAAACATTTCTATAGATGAACTTGTAATATGTGGTTGCCTCCTTAATAAACAGCCTGACCATAATGTTTATTATTAAATCTATATTCATCTTTCAAGTGTTTTATTAATTTCTGAATAAGGCAAGATTCCTTCTCTCATCCCAACCGCATTACCTACAGTTGGTCTTAATAAATTTCTCCGCTGTTTTTTGTTTTTTGGTTTTTGTTTTTTAACACACAGACTCAAATCTTACTGTCCTTTCGGATCCTGACTAGGAGTCTGGGTTGGGGACTATAGTCTCTCTCCTTGTTTCATATTTGAATCATTTAGAGTGATCGCAGTTTACTTCACATTGGTTTGTTCTTGGAGCTTTTTCATCTGCTCTGAATTGATATGTAGCCAGAAAGAGTATCTGTAAAACAAACAGGAGCAGTTTCCAATAGGGAAACTCCATGCATTTTCTAAAGATTTATTTGTTTGTTTATTGTAGATGAGTGTCCTATTGTAGATGAGTGTTCTACACCTGAACACCAGAAGAGGACTCCAGATCCCAATATAGATGGTTGTGAGTCACCATGTGGTTGCTGGGAATTGAACTCAGGACCTCTGGACAAGCACACTGTGCTCTTAACCGCTGAGCCATCTATCCAGCCCAACCCCATGCATTTTTAAGCCACATGGTTATTGTAGGTGATCCTGTGGCTCTTCCATGGATGGAACAGCCAAGACTTGTGCTCAAAATGAGTTCTACTCATTCTGTAGGAGATGCTTGCACCTGCATTACAGTTTGTCTTACAGATGACACAGAAAAATGACACCCACATAGGAGTTCTTCTCCCAGGACAGCTGAAGACTTTAAGAACCACTTGAAATAATTGTCAGTCACTCACGTCAGTTATGAATGAGAAGTTTGTCTAAGCCATGTATGTCTCCAATAGGGATTCCTACATGGAGGCTCTTCTGAAATATATTCACTGTATCACTGCTTGTTTTGGAGAAGGTATATAGCATATCTGCCATCCCATCTCCTCCTGAAGCAGGAGAATTGTGAGTTCAGGGTATCACAGACAGTGATACCGCCTCTAAAAAGACAAGACAGAATAAATGCTGGAGAAGACAACATGGTGGGAAGGAGTACTCTTTACTGTATTCAGACTAGTCCTAAATAGAAGTCTAGCTGGGCTGAAGACAAACTGCTCACAGCCGTCTTTACGACAAGTTACTTAAAACTATGAACTACATAGGGATTGAAACCAATTCTCATCTACTGTAGGTCACCTTAGGAAATACTGGTCAACATTTATCAAATTACAGCTAAGGGAGCCTAAATCCTGCTTTCGGCACACACGTGAATTTCATAGTCAACAGTAATGTACATCTCAAAATAACTAAAGCTATTTTCAATATTCTCACAAGAAATCTTTAAATATGTTAAATGTTCTATTATAAAGTATATATATGCATCAAAACATGCCCTGTGCTCAATATGTATAATTGCCAATTGTTAACAAAGCAAATTGATCACAATATAAAGCAAATTTATTTTTAATGCTTACTATCTTACTATTTGATACATACCTGTTGCTTTAAGAAATAAACAGAAAACAGTATGAAGACATTACCTACAGTTCTACAGTTCAGAAATCAATACTGAAGCATTTACCAAACATGGTTATACAACACAAAGCTGAAGGGTAGAAAGTCTTCCTTTTAAAATGAGAATGTTTTCATTTAAAATGTTGAGTGCATTTGCACTTGTGCAGAAGATACGGCTCGTGCTGTGGAGAGTTTGGTGTGCGTCTTAGTTTGTGCACACATAGTCTCCCGGGACAGTAATCACATACATGGCATTTATTGTTGAAACACTGACTAGCTTTCCTTATAAACACTTACAGAAATTAGAAGAATATGGCCAGTCACAAAAGGCAATCACTTCCATTGGTCTTCAAGTCCACCTTGGAAATTTGAGGATTTTGCTTTCTGCCTGTGGACCTGGATCAGTCGTGCTTGACAGTTAACTTTCTGCTCTGAAATCACTGTCTGCTTTGAGTCACGCAGACTCTGCTGGTGAGATGTACATGGTTTCAGAAAGGATGTACAAATATCTGATATTAATGTCTGTATTTCCTAGCCCCTTGTTGAATCTTGATCTAACCCTGGCTCAGGTTCCCAGCCATGGATTGGCAGTGTTGAGTACAGAGGTAGTTCAACAAAATGTCTGTCTGTCTGGTGCCTTCACCCTCCATCTTAGTTTTTGAGATGAGGTTTCTCGCTAAATTGGAGCTGATTGAACTATACTAGGTGGCCGTGGATGATCCTGTCTCTGCCTCCCCAGCGCTAGGATTATAAGCTCATGCTGCAGTTTTTTACGTGGGCATGAACTCAGGTCCTCAAGCCTATGCAGCTAAGCACTTTGCCAACTGAGCCATCTTCCCCAGCTCATAAGCCAAAAACACTTTTAAAAGAAACAGCAGAGATCATTAAAGAACTAAGATGGTCTGTGTTAGGAGTTCAACCTTAGAATAGCCTGGAGGGCTGCCAGGACACAGAATTCTCTGTCCAACATCCAAAAGTCCCAAAGTCAACATCCCCAGATTCTAAGGTGCCTCACTAGTGGATTAATTGGGTGTGGCCAGAGCATTTGAGTTAGCTTACAACAGCACAGCATCCCTGAGAAACATGAAGGTGGAGGGGGGAAGGCCTTTTCCTTTGAAGGAGGTGCTGTCTACATGGTGTGAGCCAGTTCATGAACAAACAAGATAGGCTTGCAGCACAAATGCTGGAGCGCATAAAGTGTAAAACAACTTCCCATCACTCTCCGTTGTCGTAGAGGAAGCCCTTAGGCTGGATGCCAAGGTGCTGCCTATTGGTGCTCCAGGCCCGTTCATGAGGCCACCACCACGCTCCTCGGTGTCCTTAGAAAAACTTTCCTCAGAACACTGGGCCAGTTGCAACTCATATTCTGTCATTTGCAACCAAAAAGGGCTCACTTTTCAAATGGTTCTTAAATTAATTGATGCATAAAATATGTTTAGAAAAGTGAAGGAAGCCAATGTCACACTTAGAACTCTCTACTTGCCGACGAGAGGCCCGGCCATGCGGAAGGCCCTGATGATGCTCACTCCCATTCCCCAGGCTGCGGCTGTCCTCACTTCTAACACTAGTAACAGAGTTTTGACCCTCAAGTGAAGCCATACAATTTGTATTTTCTCCTTGATTGGAAACTAAAAATGGTTTTCTCTCAGATTCAGCCACTTAACGAAAATAAGTTTCACCCACGTTGCCAGTGTCACCACGGTTTGGTCATTCTCACAGCTTTCACGTGCCATTGCGTAAATACAGCAGTTTGCCCTTTCCAGTAAAGACGGTTGCCCTTTTCAAGACGGAGGGCTCTTGAAAATTAATGGCGTTTTGGATTTCTACCAGAGACAAAATGGACACCGCCAAACCCCTACTGAATGAAGGGACAAAAGGCAACAGAACACAGCAGAAATAAAAGCAGGCTGCAGAAGGCCACAGAAGAGTGAGTTCCGCATTTCTGCCCTTTTCTCATCGCTGAGGCCAAGAATGGCACCCACACACGCTGCAGCCATGTCTCTGGTGCTTTGAAGCTGGAGTGCTCATGGCCTCTGTCGTGTGTGGGAAAGCCCCCACAAAAGCCGTCTTGGCAAGCAGTATGGACAGCTGCAGTGGATGGGAGCCCCGCTTGGCTTTTCTGGACAGGACCAGTTTTCCATTTGTTCTCTTTCCCTCTCGCCCTCCCTCTCTCTCAGTTACCCAGTAGCAGTAGTGGGGCTTCAGTTCCAAGGGAAATATGATGTTTCTGTCTTGGGGGGCAAGAGGGAAGAAAGACAGGGAACAGATATCTTTTTTTGTTTGCTATGGTGTTTTTTATTTTTGTTAATGTTCTGAGACAGTGTCTCATTGTGTAACCCTGGCTGGCCTAGAACTCTGGATCAACCAGACTGGTCTCAAACAGAGAGCAGAGATCTGCTTGCCTCTGCCTCCCAGGTGTTGGGATTAAAGACGTGCACCGCCACACCCAGCTCTTTTTCCTGTTTCTGATCAACATGAATTTCAAGCTTCCCCTTCAACTATGCATACACCAAGCCTGAGGCAGCCAAACTGAGGTGCAGTTTGAGCCACTGGCCAAGATGGCCTAAATATGTGAGGGGACAAGACCGAATGGTACAAGGGTACTGAATGGTCACGGGAGAGACAGATCCAGGGTACAGAGCCCCACTGACCAGAGCTGCAGCAGATAGCACCGAACCTTTGGTCTGAGCCTGTCTGGTTCGGTTTAAGCCAAACAGTTCTGGACTACCTTAATGTATAGGGTCTAACGCTGAAAGTGCCAGCATTTAATATAAAATTACTTGACATACAATGAGCTGAGAATGGATGATACTCTCAAAAGCAAAATCAACAACAAAACTGAGCAGAAATGGTCCAGTTGCTAGAATTAACAGTCTTGAAGGCAGTTACTGTAACAAGTGGAACCATCACCAATAGCCTACTGGGTCATGAAAGTGTTGAAATCATACAGTGTGTGTTCTCTGACCATAAGCAATGAAAGCAGAAATAAACTATTGAAAAGTACCAGGAAAGAACAAATATCTGGAAATTTTAAAACACTAGTTGTACATAGCCTAAGGATCAAAGACAAAGTCAATAGCAAAACCAGAAAATACTTCTGATTGAAAAAACAAAGTATAAAAGCAGAAGTCGAGAGACATTAAAGTGACCAAGAAAATGTGTGATACTAGACTCTTGTGTTAGGAAAAAGCCTAAGAGGCAGAGCTGCGGCCTTCTAAAGACATCCGCACCCCGACACCGGTAGCCCGTGACTATTGGGTTACATGGCAAAAGAGATTAGGGTTACCGTGGTGTTCGGGTTGCCGCTCAGCGGACTGCAATGGACAGATGCCCAGGTGTGTCAAAGCGATAACAAGGATTCTTCCACCTGCGCACTTTGGGTTTCCATCTGCATTCTTGGCAATCGTGTGAGGCTGTGCACCCCAGGATGGGAGAAGGGGAAGGAGCATAATCCCAGTTTGCATTTTGTCTGGGTTTCTTCCCCAAGTGATAGTGAGTCAGTCTCCAGTTTGTGGCTCTTTGCCTCCCGTAGAAAAATTTGTTTCTCTGGAACAGAGTCCATTTTCCCCAGCATGTGTGTGTGTGTGTGTGGGGGGGGGGGTGTCAGTCT